CTGTACAGAAAACCGGGTTTTCTGACGGACAATCGGGTTTTCTGACAGAAAACCGAGTTTTCTGACAGAAAACCAGGTGCGCCAACAGAAAACCCGCAGCCCCGTACAGAAAACTGGGTGCCCGTACAGAAAACCCGCAGAGCTGTACAGAAAACTGGGTTTTGGACACAGAGAACCGGGTTTTGGAGACAGAAAACTGGGCCCCTGACGCCTCCCGAGTGCTCCCTGATGTCTGCTGGATGCAGGCTGATGCCTGCCGACTGCTCCCCGGTGCATGCTGGGAGTGGGTGGGTGTGGGTGTGGGGATGTGACTGTCGGCGGCAGGGGTACATTGCGTGTTTTTCGGTGTGGTGCCGACGGCCGTCAGACGACAGACATTGCCTGTCAGTTGATCATCCATGTATCGCATTCAGTGAGACGGCATGAGTCGGCCGATCGGCCAGAAACCACCAGCATGCACCGGGGAGGAGTCGGCAGGCATCAGCCTGCATCCAGCAGACATCAGGGAGCACTCGGGAGGCCTCAGGGGCCCAGTTTTCTGTCTCCAAAACCCGGTTCTCTGTGTCCAAAACCCAGTTTTCTGTACAGCTCTGCGGGTTTTCTGTACGGGCACCCAGTTTTCTGTACGGGGCTGCGGGTTTTCTGTTGGCGCACCTGGTTTTCTGTCAGAAAACTCGGTTTTCTGTCAGAAAACCCGATTGTCCGTCAGAAAACCCGGTTTTCTGTACAGCACTGCTGGTTTTCTGTCAGAAAACCCGGTTCTGTGTACAGCACTGCTGGTTTTCTGTACAGCACTGCTGGTTTTCTGTACAGCGTGTCTGGTTTTCCGTTGGGGGTGTCTGGTTTTCCGGGCGGAAAACGGTTATGGAGCTGGAAAACCAGTTTTGCACTTGTTTCCTCCTGGTGGTGCAGTGCACGATGCACACACACACACACACACACACATGTATACGCACCGATGGACACACCGTGTGTGTGTGTGTGTGTGTGTGTGTGTGTGGAGGTGGCTGGTTGTGAGAGAGATCCCCGACGGAGGAAATTTACGATCGGCGGGGATTCGTGGCGCCCCCGTTTCGTGACCGTCCATATTTGGTGCAGTTGAAAGCTGGCGCGTCGTTGGCGACTGCGTTGCTCAAAGAGCTGTGCAATATGTCGCTTTACTCCCATTAGGCGTGCATATGACAGAGGGCGAAATGCACGTGACGTCGCCGAATGGGAAACCACGCACTCATCCAAATGTGCAGAAGTCATAACGTACTCTTCCGTAGCGAGTTCATGGTCAAAACTTTCCACAGGATATAAAATGCAGGCAACGATGAGCATCCATTCAAGAACACATCCCCCGCGGCAACGCCGGCTTTGTGGTTGTGTGGGGCTGTCGGGCTTGGGAGGCGGCAGGGTGAGGTCGACGTAGGCGTCGATGGCCTTCTGTACCGCAGCTTTTCCGATGACCACGTAGGCCAGGTACTCGTCCGCCTCCTCGAGCGAGGCTTCGAACTCCTCGTCCGAGGCTTGGATGAAAGCCTCCAACTTGGCCGCCGACTCCCCCGCCTTTGCCCTCAGCCTCGCCATCTGTGGGTCAACAATGCAACAATGCAACAACAAGCATCCATGTGATGTGCCGCATGCAGGGCATCGTCGAGTGTGTGTGCTGGCTTTGTGCTGGGTGCGGCCAGTGAATCTGCTCACCTCCTCGTCAAACTTCTCCCATTGCAACTCCTGCTCATCAACTCCATGCCCCTTCATGATGGCCGCGTAGTGGCCGTTGATTTCCTTCTGTTTCTCCGTGCTGGCGCCCTTGTCAGGATGGTTCTTCTGCGCACCCACACAGCACACGGTCAGCACAATGAGTGAGCGCATGGCCACCAGCTTAGTCAAAGCAGCCGAGTCTCTCTTTCCTCCCCATTTCCATGGCTGCAGTGCACTGCAGTGCATCGTTTTACCCGAGACAACTTGAAGTAGCGGCGACGGACTTCATCGTTGGACGCAGTGGGCTCCAGCCCAAAGAACGTGTAGTGCTCGTTCATCAGCGACATCGCTTCTTCTTCCTCTTCGCAACACTGAAGGTGAGCTCGCAGAATTGCCATCGCGGCGTTTTCCGCGCCGCCTGCACCCCAGCCCTCTCGATGACCAGGTAGGCCATCTCCTCGTGGATGCGCCTCAAGTCCTCCTTCAGCTTCTCGTCGAGTTCCTTCAGCCTGCTGCGAATCTCGCGGGTCAGCTTTTTGATCTGTTCACACACAGGAGAAATGCGCATGAGTGTTCTTCCAAGTGGTCGCCCAGCCTTAGTTAGCTCCCTCTTTGTCTCCCTGTCTGTATGTGTGTGGCGTGGAGGACTGTGTTGTGTGTGGCGCTCTCACCAGCTGCCTCGCTGCCCTCAGCTCATGCACCGTCATGGCCTGCAGAGCACGAAACAATCCAGGAGGATACACGGACGGATGGAGCCATCAAAATGGAATTGTAGGGGTGGGTGCAGGTGCCTTCAGCTCACCAGCTCATCCCCCTCCTCAAACTCAAACTCGTTCACCGCCTGCATGCAACAATGGAGAGAAGGGGAAAACAAGGAGGATGCATGGCGACCGGCCGGCAGTTGCAGTGCACGCCCACATCAGCACGCACCTTGGTCTTGGTGAGCGCCCCGTACGCGATGTCGAAGCGCTTTTGCACTTCAGGGTCACCCTCTTTATCGGGATGGTTCACCTGCATCATGCACACAGCAGACGGATGGCATGAGCCTCTTCGTCAGAGATAGTGCCTACCTTCGAGAGCTGGCGATACTTTCTGGTGATTTCCGCCTTCGACGCGTCCTCAGGCAGGCCGAGGGTTGCTTAAAATAACCTGTGCGCAGGCAACCACCCACCCACCCACCCAGCCGGCCCGTTATGTATGTGGT